CATAACTCGGAATAATAGGTAAATAACACATACGGATTAAGGTGACCGTATGGTGCACTAATGGGCCTTAATGGTCAATAAAAGCTAAATAAACAGAAGAAGTAACAGTAGTAGTATTACTACGGTAAAATGTCGATGTGGAGTTGATGTTTTGTAATTTTATATGGAGCTTTTTTATTGATGGATTTAACAATGAATTAAAAACATAATGATATAGTAATAATTTCTCATAAAATAAATATTTCTGAAGTACTCCGATTTGAAACATATTATTATTATTTTTTTTTTTTTATACACAGCATTTTGCTGGAAAAGTTTTTCGTTGAACAAATTAACTAGTTTAACCAAACTACCAGTTTGGTTTTCGTTCTTCACATTTGACGACCCATCAACTGCATAGGGTAGTAGATGCAATATCTTTCTCTCTGGAAAAAAAATTATTTTGTACAGCAGCTTTCTTAGACATATCACAAGCTTTTGATAGAGTCTGGCACGATGGTCTCCTGCATAAAATAAAAACATTTCTTCCTTCACCCTTCTATCTTCTAATCAAATCATATCTAACTGAACGTACCTTCCAAATACGATACGGGTCTGACACGTCAAGTATTGGCAGTATAAGTGCTGGGGTTCCACAGGGCGGCATTTTATCCCCCATTCTCTACAATATATTTGCAGCAGATCAACCAATCACACCAAATACATCAGTAGCAGATTATGCCAATGATAAAGTAATTATATCTATGAATGACAACCCATGCATAGCCTCCGCAAACCTTCAAACTCACCTAGACCTTATGGAGAATTGGTATACCAAATGGAGATTTAAACTAAACCATAGCAAGTCTATACACACCACCTTTACGCTTAGACCAGCTCTTACCCCTGAGGTAACTCTGTACGGTGCTCCAATTCCATCCTCTCCTTCAGTTAAATACCTTGGTCTTACATTAGATAAAAGATTAACTTGGGCCCACCATATTAGAGCAAAAAGACTTTCACTGAAAAACCGCTTTCGTATCCTCAAACCTCTAGTCTCTAATAAACACACCTCCCTTCATGTCAAACTCCTCATCTACAAAACACTACTGAAACCAATCTGGACGTACGGGATACAGCTATGGGGAAGTGCAAAAAAGACAAATTTAAATAAAATTCAATGTTTTCAAAACATTGCGCTAAGAAAATTAATAAATGCTCCCCCATACATATCTAACCATACTTTCCATACAGACCTAAAATTAAAAACTATCCACGAGGAAGCCAAACACTTTTACAAAAGATTCCATAACCGTCTTTCCTCCCACTCAAATCCTTTAATTAAAAACCTTTCCTCCCTCTCAATCCCCGGCAGTCCTCCTAGACGATTAAAACGTGAATGGTGTAGAGACCTGTTACAAATTGTAATATAGAAAAAAAAATAAAAAAAAAAAAAATACTAACTTATTAAATATATATAATTCATTTACATTTTTCATATAAACTATCAACATTTAAGTGTCATCATTGGGTGGCTTCTTTATTCACTTTTTGTATTTTGTATACTCATGTTATCTGTACCCCTTATCATATATGCTTATTGTGTCGTTTGATATAGATTGTATATTACGTATTAAAATAAAAAAAAAAAAAAAGTTTATAGATAATTGTGATAAACAGATATAAACGTGATTAGTTTGTATACAGTCTCAAATAGCAGACAATTAAGAGTATGTGATAGTAATATGCATATATATTTCAATCAACAATAGGATTATTTACTCTTTTAATATTCTATACAATTAATAATATAATATGTGCACAGTTGACTCTATTATGAAAACATAATTATAACATACTTTTCTCATTGCAAATGGAAATTTAATATCTGTTACTAGTAACTGACTAGGGAGCATAATTAATTTTAAAACAACTACAATCTAAATATCTGTTTAAATTGATATTCGATAAAAAAAATTTAAAAAAAAATGGTGTATTAATTATAAAAAAATTGAAATTTAATTAAAAGTTTTTATTTCAAAATCAAAATTTTTTAACTGAATAAGCAATATAACAAATCCTTTATGACTATAACTACTGTTATATGAACTAATATTCATTAATATTTTACTAAAATTAGGTATATTTTAATATACTATTTAAACGTTTCTAAATTATATAAAAGATAATATAAAAATCGCACAATTACGTGATTTCATTAATTCTGAAATGAAATATAATTTCTTGTTTAAGCAATGTTTTGAAATTCTCGATGACATCCTAATAATGAAAAGCACACGATTATTTGGTTTTATGAACTTTTAATTTCTTATCGTTTTTGATTCACGAACTACTATATTAAAATGAAATAATATAGAATAATCATTCGATAAAAAGCATTCAGTTGGTATAAATATTATCTTATCACATTAAAACATTCTTCGTATAATAATATGCCAGTGCATGTATGGAATATATAATTTAAAACGAGGTTCAATTAATTTATGTAAGTGCTTTATCAATATGATTTAATTCCATTGATGTAGGTTACTAAAAATAATTTGTTAGTATTACAATCATTATAATTATTATGTTAAACTCGAATTCATTATCTTAATAGAATAGTTTTGATTTAACGAAATTCAAATGTATTATCATGGTTTACATTCTAAAATCGGAGAGAATAAACGCGTCATTAGTCATATTATACCCGAAATAAGCATTATAGTGCCATCGCAGTGTTCTAAAAATAATTTTTAACATGATAAAATTAATTATTTATAATTCTATTTTAATTTTTGGATACTTAGTTCATTTCCAAACTCAGTTTATTTTTTTTTTTTTTGGGAATTTTTGAAAAAAAAATGGTTAGTACTTTATTTATTTTAATGATATAATACAATTTTATTTGTTACATTTCTATAAATAAGAATTACTAGAACTGACAGGTTTTTCAACAGATATATCAGATGCTTCGTTTTCTTCTTCCCTGTATCTGTGTCACATATAATCAGTGATTTTATATCATCTGACAATTCATTTATTTGTTTTTTTTATTAGTGCTCTTATCGAGGACACTCAAAGCATATGTACTATATTTTCATTTGTACTAATCCGTGCATTTTTTTAAGTATGGTGTTCTCTAAACTTCTTGTATTCTTTTTTATTCGCTATCACTGCTTTCTCGGCTAACCGGCCCTTATTAATAAAAAACAAACTATGCATATAATTTTATACTTAACTATTATTATACGTTTTATATTTTACCTATAAGAAGAAATGCTGCATTTATGATAGCAGATCCATGTATCTGTATTTTATGTAAACTATCAGGCATACAGTACCAAGACTGCAGAGAAAACAATAATTTTTGCAGTATTTGCTGTGTACAATTTAAAGTATTTTTGATATATTTCTAGTGTTAAAAAAATAATAATTTTTTTTGAAGGCGGGAGAAGATATTTATTTTTGTCCTGAAAAGTTTTACATCTCTTTTAAATAAACATTACGCATGCCGACGTCTAAAATCAACCAACGAGAGGTGAACCTAATGTGACGGACGGTTATCCAACAAATTATATTCAAATGAATCAGCAAGGTCCGAAAACCTAAACATATTTTGCCGGACAAACACGCGATGCATAATTGTAAAGGTAGGGATCGACGACACGGGTTTTTCAAAAACGACGGAAAAATCTCATCCCCCATCTATCGTAAATTCGTTTTGCAGTAGTTGACCACGGCGATCGTAAGACGGATTTATGACGTGTCCCGCCGGAAGTGTGTGCGTGTACATAAATATTTGTTATTTTTTTTATTTATTTTTTTTTTCAACTTTGCAATTCATACACACCACGGTCGTACATGGGATGAACCCTTCTCTCCTCTCCCCCCCACCCTCTGGATCGTACAATTGTTGCGCTGCACGTTTTTGCTCAATTTATCAGCGAATCCCCTGACTTGTTACTGTAATCTTGATGCATTGTGTCCGGTTGACGGTGAATATAAAATAGGAGACGTTACAAAATAAAAACATAAATAATCTGTAATCCTTCACGACCCTGCCAGACAAATCACAATAATAATGTTTTTCGTGGAGTAAGAATTTTTTTCATTATTATTTTCATTTAGTTCTTTGCCCACAACCCCGTGGCATATTGTCGGAGCAAGCGTTCGGGCCGCGTATCGTTTTGTAACGGTCACTTAATTTCAGACGAATAAAAAATGTACGTACGTATGTCACATAATGTACACATAAATCATATTTTAACTATAAGTACACGCGTCCACCGGTATTATATGACTCAGTAAAAGATCGCGTTATATGCAACATAGGTAAGGCAGATACTCCGATAACATGGACAATTTATTTGGTCTTATTTCCTAATTCATGATGGATTTATCGCGCCAAGACGGAAATCTTGTTAAAGAGAAAACGGACAGGTATCCATATCAAAATCGACACAAAACTCCCGATAAGACGAACAATAATAACACTGAAACACAACGTAGATTACGGCTAGTAATGACTGGAAAACTTTCAATTTAATGGTTACTATCGTCGATACCCATAAGATGACATTTAAAACTATGTAATAAAATTGATTGATACATGAGATGTTTTAAATTTAAGTAATAAAATTGATAGACTGCCTGTGGAATGCGGTGCCCATAAAATAATGATACAGGGCTGACGCTCTAACCTATTTGGCTATATTTGGCTAATTGACCTATGTTTTACCAACGAATTTCTGGCTTCCCTTCTAAATTTTATTTCAAAACTATGTTCAAGGTTTTATTAAACTTCAATAACTTTATTAAAATGATTTTAAGTCATTGTTTCAAAACTTTTTTGTGTAACGTTTACAATAAATTATTAATATGCAAGTAATCATCGGTTTCGTCTTAGCGAGATTTTACTGTAATAATAATATATTAAAAGTTAAATTGTTTTTATAAATTGGTGGATATAAATATTTGTATAGATATTTTCAATTAAATATAAAATGTAGTAAAAAATTTCAATAAAATGCAAATTAAAGTTAAGTTCACGAATAAAACACAAAAACCCGTACTGATACAAATATAAATAAACTGACCGAATCACATCACTTCGCCCGATTTAGATTAGGTTCGACTATTTATGACTAAAGTAATTTTTACGTTCATCGTATAATCTAATGATATCTACATTTACATCCCTATAGTACAATAATTTACATACACCTTGTAACGTTTACATTTACATAGGTCCAATATTTAATTATGAACGCCAATTATTACAATCTGCGTGATGTATGTGCTAACGTACGAATTCGTACATTACGGAACATTAAGTCTATTTCTCCCTGCCCCCATACGTGTGCAATGTAGTCATCTCCGGACCTTTTCATATTGCAATGACCTAATATTTTCCCATCTTCATGCCCATGGCTACTTATTTAAGTTCGTCGACCGAAATCGCGCGTGTTTGTCGCTGTATGTCCACATATACCTGTAAGGGGATATTGGTCCGTTAAAATAGAAATGCATCACAGATCCGATGGTATTCCGACCTAAACGGTAAAGGAGACATGGGTTAATATGGGAGTGTTACGAGGGAGTTGTAATAACTACTCAGTGTTACATTAGTGGTGATGACGCTTGGCAGAGTACCCTTATATGGGCTTGGTGGTAGCTGTTGCGGGAGCAACTGATACGGTTGAGGATAGATAATAGTCCAGGCGAAGTTTTTCAATAAGTTCGGTGCGGGTTTTGATGGTATTCAGACATTGTGAATGTTGTATGGTGCAGACAGTGGCGTTTCTTCCGAATGTCTTGCTGCTCTGCTGGATGAGACATACACCAAAGATTATCTGTAACCGAAAATATGACAAAGGTTGGCGGAAACTCGACTCGACCAAGACGATTGGGCAGTAGACACGAAACACCCAACTTTTGGTACGAGTGCCATGCTCGTGGATGACATGGGGTTTCGACACTGGTGGTCCGTAGATGGCCCTAAGCCCGTCGACGCTTTGGATTCAATAACCCATAATTTCTTTGAGTTTTGTTAACAGCTCTCAAGAGCTAACAATGGTACGCTGTTGTGGGTGAGCGCAAGTGCTAGTCATCAGACCCCGGGTGCAAACTGTTTTCTTATCTGAAAAAGTCAAAAATATACAATTCGTAAGGAGATTCGTATTGTTTTCGAATGTGAATTGCATAAACCGGACCATAATTTCGAAATGGTTATAACAGGTGGTGGTTTGGTGTACAGCTGTTCAAAAGTTTCAAAAGTATTAGTTATTAGTGTACAGTTTAAGCATTGCACAATAATGGTCTGACATGACGTTTTAATTATTTGAATGAAACATAGCTATCATTTCAACTAATAGCGTCAAAAAAAAAATGTGAAAAAAATAAAAAAAAAAGAATATCATCATCAAAGCAAATTAATATTGTAGAGGGAAGTAAAAAAAAACGTAAAAATTTCAAATTAAATGTAAAAAAAATTAATTTCAAAATCAAAAAAGGAAAAACTCATATCTACATAAAACAATTGTATATTTTCAAACAATATATTGATAAAATTATAATGTCACTATATTAACCGTTCGCAGGCGTAACGTTTGATAGTACATTTTTATATTTTATGAATTACATTTTTATGTGTCCACGACGTATAAATATATTGTGGTCATAAACACTAAAAATTCAGCCAGTCTTAAACATAGCCCAATAACAAAACAATTATAATTTTGTGCTGGTTCTTTTAAACAGTTTTTAGAGTGATTTCATTGATTTTTTTCAGCTCGAATACATTTAAATGATTCATTTGACTATTTTCAGTATATAGTATGTTGAATACATTTTATACTTATTTAAATTTATTAAGTAGACGGTAATCTGATAAAAATATTACTACAAAAACTAATGATTGAGAAATGTAAAAAATATTTTTCGTTATATTATTCAATTTTGGTGTAAATTTAATTTATTTTGATTGCGTCGTTTAAATATACATATGAACAACTGTCAAATCTATTAAATGTTTACACAAAATACAGAACTGTATTGTATATAATAAAACTGTATTCTAAAACCAAACAATAAACATTTCTAATATTTACCCAAACAATACGCGTGGGCTATGTGTCATTAAATCATTCATAATTACATGTTAAGTATGAAATCGGACTTAAAAATATGTTTTTATTAATTTATACTTCCAAAAATATGACCGTATATTGTTATCGAACCCTTATAAGCTACTGGGTGATTTGAACAGAATGAAATTTTTCGCAATCATGGGTCCATTGAGATTTGACTAGATCATTTTCATAAAATCATAATCATAATAATCGTAATTTCTTACAAAATTACCGAAAACATATATTTAACGATAAAAGTTGATGTCGGAGGTCAATATTGTAACAAACCGATTTTAGAAATGTATTGTCAACGACCGAAATACTAATTGTTTCAGTGCGTATTTAACTTACGACCGCTCAATACATATGTTTCCAAAGTACACCTTTACCAAGCTTCCGGTAGCACCAGAGTACTGTTCCATAAAACTAGAAATGTTTTAAAATTAACTTACCAAAATGATCGCTAACGCTTTAAAATACCACTCTCCCAAGAACAATACTCAATCAAATTCCACCCAAAAACAAAACAATCTCCATCACAATTTTAAATGAAAAAATAACAACACCATCGGCAATTAAAACTTCAAGTACTGAAATACAATCCAATTCAAACACATCATTAGGTGATGATAATGAGGGCGTCGCGTGCGTACCAAACATTTCCTTTTCTACCACATATAAGACTACTACTGTTAGTGAATCTTTTTCCATCACCGATAATAACCATACAGTCTTCGATCACTCTTTTGCTTCTAATAACAAAAATCAAACAAACAAACAAAATTTCACCAAATTTAAAAAAGGCGATAATAAATTTGCATCAATAACTGATCAACCCTAAAACTGATTGACACAGTAAGCATACCGGACTAAGACTAGTACTAAGAGCCTTCCAAACCCGTCCAACATATACAATAAAGCTGGTGAACTCCTCTTACTCTAAGAACGATATAGTTATTTGCATAATACATTGCTTGAATAGCTGGACGAAACGGTGACAGCTTTAGCAATATAAACAATGAAATGACGAAGCTGACCAATGAAATTATATCCACTTCAATCAAATCATCTCCCAAAAATTCATCATAAGCCCACCTTGGGACAACAATTATCAAATTAACACCAAATTTAACGTCTTATCCAAACAAAATACAGCATCTAAAATATATAAAAGACATATCTATGATATCCTAGATAACGTCAAGAACTATCAAAAAACATACACTGATGCTTCCAAGTCATATGAAGGGGTTAGAATCGTAATGATTTTCAAAAACACAAACTTAACTTTTAAACCTCCAAATGAGTGTTCAATCTCCTCCGCCGAAGCACTAACAATTTCAAAAATCATAGAAGTAATAAAGACCTCTGGGCACAACAGGTTTATAATATTTATCGATTCTTTCAGTGGCCCAAACAGCATAAAAAATAAAAACAACCCAAGTGATATCGCATCCCTTATCCAAAACAATCTCGATGTAGCAAAAATACAAATTATACTCTTTAATTTAAGGGTACATCGGTATAATTAGTAAAGAAACTGCTGATAAATATGCCAAAACTGCCATTTCCAATACTGACATGGTCGCACTGAACTTCCTCACCCACAACGACTTCAAAAATTCCTTGAAAACCCTTATAAAAAAAGAAAAAATTCTATATATTATTGAATAACCAGATCACAAAACTAAATCAGATCAATTCCTTCTCATGGGATAACCCTAATATTAATCGAAAGGGAGAAACCATATTAAATCACCTAAGAATCAGTCATCAAGTTACATACTAGGTCATACTCACGGATTCCTCGTGTCAAAAGATCAACCTCTCATTTGCAAAGCATATGACCAACGACTCATTACCGAACAGTGACTAATGGAATATCATCTAGACGTCCAAGAGCGAATAATCCTAAACTTGACAGAATCTCTTGACGCAATCCTCCATCTGAACCCAGATTAAAACAAGAAAATCCTATAATTTTTAAAATCAACTAATTTTATAAACAAAATATAATTATACTGCTAAACTAATAATGTATCGTACAATAATTGTATTTAGTGATTTAGCCACGTCAACTAATGGCCTCTGCTGCTGAGTTGTATTATGATTAATAAAAAAAAATAATTATTACTTTCCTGGTGTGTTATTATATCCCGTTTGCGTTGAAAGAATAATCATATGTTATATATAAGATGAATATTTTTCTATTCACTCCATTTTGTTTGTTATTATTAAATACATTATTATAAATGGATCATCCCTTCTGAGAGGAGTAACAATAATTTGCCTTTGAAGTTCGACTATTTTTTAGATATTTTTTGATTTTTCATATTTTCTATTTTATTTAGATTAACATTACAAAATTTATAAAATCCCTAGGTTAGGGATATATATATATATGTATATTATTTAATAACTACTATAAGACCTTGATTTAAATGGAAAGTGTATCAATATATGATTGATCCTGGACAACGATTGACAAATATATTATTGATTTCCATATTACCGAATAAATCATCAAAGGAGAAACATTTATTTTTTAATAATTTAATGTAATTTATGAATTGTAAGTTTAAATGAATATTTGTAAAATGTTTAACAAATTTATAATATTATCCAAATATGATTAATTAGTTTGTTTTCTTGATGTTTATTTTAAGAATGTATATCATTTGGTCGCGGTAATTTGGTCGCACGTCAATTGGTCGCGTACGACATTTCGTCGCGTGTAATTTCGACGCATGTTACATTTGGTCGCGTAAATTGAAATTAATTAGCAAAAAAAAAAAAAATAGCAACATCAAAATAAAATATAGGTTGGTATAATATAGGGATGTATAAATTGAAATTAATTAGCTTCTTAAATACATAACACAATCTAAATATTTATAAAAAATGTAATTAAATTAAAATATAGGTAAGTGTATACAAAAACAAAATGTTTAAATTTAAATTCAAAAACTATTTTTGCTTTGATTATTACCCTATTTTGTACATGATGATGATCGGTGAATTTTGTGACGTTATCTATTAAGAAAACTCATGAAATTAATAAACTTATATGATACCTAAAATATATAGATTAATTATCTTACCTTGAATTGTATGAGCTCGACTAGTACATTTTTTTTTTCATTGCATTTCAAAATTATTTTATCTTCAATCGTCCTTTCTTGTTTATGAATAAAACCATTATAAATAAAAATATCTCGACCACGTTGATTTTTTATAAGTTCTAAAGGCATTATAGGTATGGCATACTATTCGTTACGAGTTTACGAATACGATGCCGCGCACTATAGTAAAATGCTATGCAAGCACTGCCAGAAAATCATATTATGTAGTAAAATAAATTATAGACACCGAAAACTTATCTAACAGATAAGGTTATAAATGTATAAGTCATAAGTGACATATACATATTATATATAGGTACTTAGCTAAACAATTATCGGTAATATTGATAAGCGACAAATTGACGCACAACCAAATGTAACATGCGTCGAAATTATCGAAATTACGCGTGACGAAATTTCGTACGCGACCAATTGTCGTGCGTCCAAATGACGTAAATCCATTTGACGCGTGACCAAATTACCGCGATCAAATGATGGTACGCCTTATTTTAAATAGCATAAAATAAAATTTTCAAATTTTCCAAATTTGGACTTCTCTTATTAAAAACGTTTTTTTTTTTTTTTTTATAATTATTTCGGTATTCATAAAACAGTAAATATAATTTGAAAAAAATTTTAATTAATCTTAAATTCAGCTCTTTATGAATGAATTCTGATTTTTCAAACACTGTATATTGTATAGTTTCCCAATAGTAATATCAGAAAGACTGATTTACAATTCTTATCGATTCCACGTACTCGAGGTATTTATTTATTGACATTTTATACCAATAGAATTTACATAGAGAGATTTATTATAACTTAAGTCATAGAAATACGAGACTATCATTGATTTTGCAGTCGACCGAGAGCAATAGCAGACATCGTGTGTAGGATATCGGCGGACATTATGGAGGAGTCGCTGTATAGTATTCGTGAAATTACTGCGGTAGGTTGAGTTAACCAAAAACACTCACGGTTACCGCAATGGTATATGTATATATGTATAAATATATAAGTATATTGTGTTCGACCGAAAATTATATATTCTACGAAGAAAGCTCGCAACCATGAACTTCAACACGTTAAGTGGCCGAACCCGGACTACGTTAAATTATGCAGAGTGTGTTACGTATTACAGGCGTTTACGATAAATATATCTGGAAGAATACTCAATGAATACAAAAAAATATGTAGGTACTGTATCAATTATATAGGACATCATGCATCGGCTTACGGCGTATACCATAGATCGATGTACGTATGCCATACATACATCAAAAAAATGATATAATATATTATTATATAGTTGGACGAATAATAATATGTTCATTTTACAATAAAGAGAGTACCGTTATGGTATTCATAATAATACATTTCGTAAACAATAGATTTTTATGATGAATTCATGGAACATCTTCTTGATTTGAATTTTGAATTTTTCGTAAGCGTACAAATACGGTGAACGATGAATAGCACACAGTCGTTTATAGTAATATTCCACTGGGACTTAACGATAAACCATTTTTCAAAATATTTGTTTTCGTAGCAATTAATAGAACAATATTATAACTACCAAAATATGAATTTAAATCGCAATTATTATTGTCATGCCCATCGTTATTATTCGACATCCGCTCGTTGTTGGTAAAAATATACATAGGATAAAAGAGGAAAATACAAATATTTTAATTACAACATTAATTGATAATGTATTGGAATAAAATCGTTTTACACGTATGTAAGAGACACGTTTACACGTTTTCCATTATAAATTAGACTAAATTTAATCTTTTAATAATTATCTTTTAAAATAATTATTATTTTTGTGGTATTTGGCATACATCAGTAGTGTATGCATTTTTAAGAATTTTTGTTTTGATTTTTTCGAATTAGACTTTTTTTTTCCAGAATATCGTTGAATTATTAGATTAGTTATAGTATCTGTAGGGTTAAACAAAACCTACAACCACTATAACTACTTTAACCGTAATAACATTTCGAAATTCCCAAAATACAAATAAATTATCTGTTTTTACTATCTTTCCTATAATACATTCTAGGTAGATGGAGATTCAAATACTTCTTTTAAATTGCAATGCCTGAATCTCGTAATGATAGCTTTGATACTCTGACTTGTATCAAGAGAAGTAATATATATTCCCAATATAAGAATAAAAATTAATAAAGTTCTTTTTATTTGCAACGCAGTAAAAGATGGAAAAATAAAGAAATAAAGTTGATCCTACATGAATATGAATATGGTTGTTCGAATTTTTAGGTTTATTATTTATGCATTTATTACGGATTTATAATAATATGGTCTTAAAAATTTGCATTGATAAAGCGATATGTTATTCAAAACTCTGTCGAAATAGTGTACAGATGGGGTGTATAAAATTATAATTTTAACTCATGTAAGTCTTAATACTTTTTTATAACGATAGTATATTTTATTTAAAATTTCATATTCGTTAAGTACATGGGTTATTGAGTGGATTTTTTTCTCACGAACGAAATCATATATTTTTATTTTTATATATTTTTTTTCAGCATATAGGTGTATTTTTAGTTATACCTTGGTAAGATGTTTCTTTAAAAAAAAAAAAAAAAATGAATAAATAAATTAAAAATTTAAATTTATACTTTGAAAACAATTATTATTTAATTATTATGTAATAAATTTGATAAAATTATTGAACAAAAAAATAATATTTTTGACGTCTTGGCGAATGGACTGAAATAACTGGAGTAATATTGAAAATTGCCGGCACACTATTCCTTTAAATATGATTCGTTTATATTTTATGTTTAATATTTTGTCTTTGCATCGATATTAACATGAAAATATTGATTTTAAATACAATAAAAAAAAAAATCAATATTTTGTCGTTTAAAAACTGGAAAAAAAAATCTACTGAGATGTGAAGAAAAGAGTAGAATAATAGGGTCTAAACTTAATATGCAGACATCGACCGAAATAAACAACTTTCTTCAGTTTAATGAAAGGTAGCTACGTGAGGTAAGGATTTACTAATATTACTAATATATACATAGTACGAATGCATATTATTATTAAAAATAATCATTATTAATATTGCTATAATCATTATACTTACAATTAATAACTGTTGTTATTGTAATTATCATTATTATTATTATTGTTATATTTCTGTAAAAATGTATGTGTATAATAATATGTATAATATATATTGGATTTGTTTTTTTTTTAATTATTTTCACATCCGTTCCCAATCCGAGGCAATTGAACACGTTATCCCGCGTAATGATTAATCGTATTTGTACAGGTGCCGTCAATTAACTACGTGCATCGTTTCGTCATCACCTTTGCCACAACGTTTAATTTCCAACCGACTCTTACGGAACATTTCGATCCGTTGCTCTACAATCAATTACCGTACAGTGAGTGCTGCGATGATACCGTCCGGCGTTGAACAACGAAGGACCGCGACGGCCGCAGGACGAACGCCGATGTGGACTGCCGCGGTGATACTCGTGTGCGCAGAACTCGCGGTGACGGCCCCGTGGCAAGTGCCCAGGCCCGAAACGGTGCTCGTCCCCGTACCATTCGATCAGCTCGACAACATCCGATGGTTGATCGACCCCAAGACCATGAGCTCCACGTGCGGACAGTTCAAGGCCTACGTGACCAACAGGACCGTCGACCTGGTAGGGTAAACGATTTTCGGTGTTCAGCGGGTAACTTGACAGGGATCACGGATAGATTTTTTTTTTTGGTTTTATACCTGCATGTTTTCACACGATCCCCGAATCGCAGTGTTTCGCGGCCATAACGATTACCCGTGTCCAAAGCTTGAACGGGGCACGTCAATCCGAATCGTAGTCCAACGAGTGTATCTCTTTTGCGATTTCGTGACCGGACTTTTCTTATAACAAAACGAAATAAAAACCGAGCTGCACAATTTACTGACGACCGTCAAACACACGTGAATCCATAACGATCTCACTTAAAGCCCTCTGTTTGATGAACAATAGTATTGCCTGTCCGCCGCGCGTCCATTTACCGCGTATCCGCAGTAGTTTCATACGTTATTGTCGTGTCGTGCGGATTGATTTAATTACCGTTTTCCATAATTTTGATGACCAATTGAAGCCGTTCCGGAATTCGGATTTAAACGACGTGTTCAACTTGCACGGCCAAGCGGTTTAATTTGTTTGCAGTTTTATCTTCCAATGTTCGTCTAAATGTATCACTATCTTGTACTATTTTCAAAAAAAAAAAAAAAAAGCAAAACTTTCGTTGTACATTTACCTTCGCCAGTACGGTTAACGATAATCGCTGTTCTTCTGTTCAAGGTCGTCGGCAGATGGTACACTATTTACACGTCGAAAATCCCGTCGACCACGAGTTATTGCAGTCAACTGACAAGTGAATATCTCATGTTAATAATACAATACCGTTGCTTATACGATAACGTTATGGTTTTCAAAGGATCTTCGTCACCGACAATTGTTCCTTTACCGTTCAATAACAAATGACGCACAAATGTTTTGTTTGGACATTCAACGGAACGAGATCGAATTCGCGACGGTGTTTTTAATTTCGAGTGCGGCAAATACGTAAACAACGAACCCGCGGATAACGTTAAGCTTCGTACCGCATCCATTCGTTTTTCTTTTTGGTAAAATTGGTTGGGCAACAGTCTTCTTTATTACATCATACCCCCCCCAGTCACTCGTAAATTTATTACGAAATTAACAACAGCGACCATATGTGTCTAAAAGCAACGCGGCTAACCATTACTGTTCGCGTTTCGTTCTTTATCATAATGAGTACAGTTTTGTTTTTTCATTAGACATCAATCAGGAGTGCGGATGTTTCGGAATTGATTTCACGATTGCCATAGGAGATGATCTCATTTCATTCGTCATGTTTTCAACGAATTCAAGGTATGTCATCATTATAAAAACTACGTTGTTATAATTAATACATAGTTAAATCTACCGTGTAAGAGAAAACATTGATTTCAGTGAAAGTTCGACGTCCTACCAACTGGCAGTGGCTTCGTTCAGCGGTAAATCTCAGTTGAATATGAATCAAATAGTTTTGCGAAGTAAATATACATATTATACACTTATAATGATTTAGATCTGATGATTACGTTACGGATAAATCTTGCCGACAAAATATCTATGGCAATTAATTATCTTAACCGTTCGTTTAGGTTTAGTCTTGCAGCCCAACGCGAAAATATCCGGAAAAGGAGGTCGGTAAAACAGTTTTAGTCGATCGATTCGTCACTCCGTTTATGTAAAGATGTACGAGTATTAATGCATTGTCTCATCGAATGTTGTTGATTTCAGCTTATGTAGTGCCGAGTGCTGTTGTAGTCGACTCTGATGACTTTGATTCGTACATGATCATGTTGGTCTGCAGAGAAAGTAAATTTTTTAAATATAATTATTTTCGAGTACCAGCTCAACCGTTTACGAATCATAATTATTGTTCCCCTCCCGTTTCAGTGGCGATAAAACCTTTAATCATTGTTCTTGTCAACGCACTTCCTATGTCGGACCAAACTAAGTACGTGGTTCTAAAATATCTTAAGAGAAACGGTCTTGATTTTTATTTGCACTCAGTGGATCACAGCAATTGTAATTACGCTCAGAATATCGTGGGATTTTAATCGAATCCAAGAGAACTAGCAAGCTATTACTTTTTAACAGGAAATCATTTCAATAATATATACATTAAACCGCGTCCGTATAAGATGACGTAATCCGTTAATATTAGTATATCGTGTAAAACCATATGTTATGTAAGCTAAGTTCACGAAAATTTGTTTTTAAATAATTGTTAATTTTTTCTTCAAAATTATAAATGTTTACAATAATCAAATAAATATACACAATTTGTTGTGAATTTATACTTTTGGATTTTTCAGATGACGTATTTTTCACTATTCAATCGGTTTTATGACTTTTTCTTTATCTATGAAATATGCATCCTGAGTTCAGTTATACATCAAATGAATTTGCTTAAATATTTCCATCGACATATGCTTATTGCACACATTGTTAACTGTATAATTTTGTTCTATAAAGTAACTAGGTTTTACAAGCTACTTTATACAATTCGCGATGTGTACAATAATCGCTGTACACATTGCAAAGTGTAAAAATATTTTCCAAAATTCAAATTTTAATCACAATTGTATAGTTTTTGACGTATAAATTTGAACTTTCCGTCGTTTCAAGATTGCACATTGATTAAATCAACCTATCCACATGTATTGACTTCATTAAATGCTATAGGTTTAACTCCTCTTTTTTTTAAACACGTTACTCAATTTTGCAAAAATGCATTCATTTTGATTGTATAATCACACTAGTCACTAATATACGTTGAAATACTACATAAGTTACGTATATAATGTACTAGTCAATATTAAGTTCTGTCTATGTTATATTTCAAAACGACAGTATCCATGATATTAAAGTCGTTTAGATAAAGGTAATAATTTTTATTGCATTATCTATACCTCAACCAATGGCCTGTGGGAATATAAGATTTAATAATAGTAATAAAGTATACAAATTTGTAAGGACTTATTAGATACAACTATTTTTATATCATATTGATGCTGTACAGTATGTAATAGTAATAATATATAATGTGTACAGTAATTTTTGTATACATCGCGAATTGTAAAAAGTAACTTATACAATTAAAAACTTTGTATAAATAGATACATATTTGATAAAATATGACTAGTGCATCGTTTATGCGAAATTATTTCGAGGAAGTTTATTGACATTGATTTTATTTTTTGTTGTTTCAATTATGTAATTGTTATGTAAAACATGATTAAATGACGAGTAACTGCACTCAATATCACCCATTTGATTTACAAAAACTTGTCTTACACAAAATTCGCTTTCGTCTAAATTATGAAGATATTTATGTTTCTATGTTTTAAAAAAATTTCCTCAGGTATATGGTTTGCTTTAAGATTTTTAATCATATAAATGTTACCTATGAGTGAACATTCCGAAACAACTAAAAAATAAATGCCATCATTAAATGAATTTGAAAAATACAAAACAGAAATATTTTGGTATATTTATGTTTTTATATCTTTCTAGCTAGATTAGTTTGGATGAAAGTACAAAGGAAATTTAGCCTATCACCTTGCATTCACGCTATATATTTTTATCAAAGTTATTGTAACGTGATAAAGTTTTCGAGGACACTGTTTAAATTTAGATCATATTGATCCTTGGTAGTGTTGGATGTTGTGCATCGTTCACTGAATAAATCGTAATAAATATCTAAAATCGTTTCTAGGAAGCTTAGAAACTATCAACAATATGTTTAAGAAAAATACTAGATTCAGATATCACACGAAGATTAACGGAATGATAATTTAATCGAATACGTTATTGATCTCACTTTAAGATGAACTCGTAACATGTGCATTATAATCATACTTCACCGGTTAACTTGTTTTTTTCACCTATCGTTAATTTTTACTTGATAAATTATGTGAATCGTTTATCCATTATAATTGTTAGTCATAAATTGTTTTCATTATTTTTTTATCAAGGGAAAACTTTTCTTTTTTTTTTTTTTGTGGTTTGCAACTTTTGACGTGAACCATATGTAGACATTAGCGCATAACGTAATACAAAGGAACGTGACTGATAACCACAAAATGTATCTTACTAATTACAAATTTCATCCACGGTAAATAATAAGCATTCGTATAACAATTACATACATTTTTTTTGTCGGCAAAATGACAGTTTAAAAAGCCTTATAGTGATTTTCATATACAACTGATACAGTTGCATATCAAGTGCGCGAAACATATACCTTCCATATTTCAAAAATAGAAACACGTTAATGGTTATAATAATAATAATTGAAATAAAATATACCATGCTAAAACATATAAACTGCTCGTTCAACATTGTTACGTTCCAGTATTTATTTTTATTTTTTCTACCGATAAATTTATGAATATATATACAAAAAAAAATATATATATATGTGTTTCATCCCAACAGTTAACACGGTCTGCGGTCGTCCTAGAAGACGGTCAAAGTAATGGGGTAAATTGTGCGTAAACGAGCTTATTATTCAGAGGCTCTATTTCGTAGGCACTTAAATTTTGTGTGCGCAATCGCGTTACACACCCTTATTTAGTCGTCGCACGTGTTCTTAAAATAACGTATGCGATCCTTCCTCGTCTTGCTCCTTCCCCGTAAATAAAGTAAAGAACTACCTTATAACTATAACTATAACTACCTTATAAATATCGTGCTAGGAAATGTAGACTGGTGACGGGTTTCCGTATTGAAGTACGCTTCATTTTATACACCGCATATGCTCAGACCTTTGAAACGGACGGGAAGTAAAAAAGTTTTTTAAATACACCTTGGCCGGCTGACACTAGAGTTTCGCAAATGGTATCAAAGAATGTGCAAAGGTTAGAATTGCGAAAGAGCCGAAGTAAAGGTTCTCAATTACAAAAGCGCACGAAAATGCAAAAGTACTCGTACATTAAGAATAAATAAAAATGATTTAAATTTTGAAAACACTATTTTTGCAAAGATAAATGCAAAGATAAATGGTTACGTTTAGTTTTGTTTATTTGAACAAAAGTAAAAATTATATTTTTTCGTATTGTACCTAGCGATAAATGTGTTTTTCCAAACCCCCTCGACTATAAGGAACACGCCTAGAGCCGCAGGTTGACGGATGTATCCGTGCACATTAACCCATCTAAGTAGTCCAATTTTACAACACGTGTTCAATTCGTTCTTACACAGATCGTACCGTGTGCACTATGATTTTTCGAGTTACCAGAAAGTTCAAATAAATGTAAACGGAAGTTACGCATTTTTGTTATTTTGTGCATATCATCTGTAGTCATGGATGATGTTTTTCCAACTTGAAATGTGTTTCACGAATTTAAAGAAATAAATAATTTTTAATTTATTTTTCTAGGTTATGTTTTGAAATGTTAGGGTATTTTTTTGGGTCCGTCAATTGAGAAAGAAATCACGTTAGGAACTTAATTTAATTTTCCCAAATTATGGCGGAAAATACTTAGAAAAACATTTTAAATAGTTTAAAGCTTGTTTTAAAATTCAAACGTAAAATACCCGTAAGCAAGATTCTGTAATGTAATTATTAACTTAAATATTAATAATTTTACTTTAACAAATCTATGCACGATTTTTTAAATTAACATGTATAATTTGTTGGCAATTTACTGTGTTATTAATGTAATAAATACATTTATTTAAGACAATATTCTAGTTTATTTCGATATTAATATACAGGTTCCAGTGATCACATTTTTTGCTATCGGTAAACCTTGTTTTAAATGTAAACATCGTTTATTTATTGTATAATTATTATAACTATTTTATTTCACAAGTATTTCAACCGTCGGGTAACTGTAAACTGCACAAGAAATATGTTTGTCATTTGATTATATTTATTTGATCTTCACACTTAATGCGAGTCAGTGCAGGTGACTACCCATTCGTTGTAATTGTCGTCATCAACGACGATGAACTGGAGACGTAAACTATAATATTATGCAAATATAGTTCCGTGATTGTCTTTAACTTCAACATAACTTACTTTAAAACTTAATTTCTAAATATACTATAGAAAACAGGTCATCGGTGGAGCGTAAGGTGCATCACATTCATTTAATCACATTCGGTATGATAATCGACCTTAAAGCAAATTCTTTGAGTGGAAGAAAAGTGACACCGTACACTTCATATATATGTAGTGCTTTGTAATATTATATAACCGTAATTACGATGAAAATAATAATAATATAACTACCGGAACGATTTTACTTTAGGTCACAAGCATTCAATCATTATTAAATTTTTAATATGATGTGCACTGATCTACGAATTGGATTATTACTTTCTGACTAGATACGAAAATCGTTTATCTGTACGTGGAGTGCTGCTGATAGTTATTCTTCTTCTTCTACTTCCAATTATTATATGTACATGTTATTATAATAAACGATATTTTAATTGCAAATATGACCATTTAAATGACGTATATCTTGCTGGCCCTCCCCTTCAGTAAAAATTTAAAAAAAAATTTATGTGAATAATTAGCAAGAAATTCACATGCATTTGCAAGACTAATTTCCCAGACACTCCATTCCCTTCAAAATCGAAAATAAAGAGTGAGTTGGCAACACATCTATCTAGACCCTCCCTCTAGTCAAAATTAAAATATTCAACATTTTTTTTTGCAAATATGTAGCACTCAATTTGCATGAAATAATTATTAAGAGAAATTCTCAATTTGAAAGTTCAAAAAGTAGTAAAAATATTTAATGGAAAAAATGTAGTTTTATGAGTTCACATGAAAATTCTATTAATATATTTCATCATGACTGCTGTTTTTTGTTTCAAAACTTTTTGGGAGCAATTTTCGATTTTAATACTTACTTAATAATTTAAATAGTATCAAAATTCAACTACACCACCGTCAATACTTAATAGGACATTTAATTTGGAGGATTGTAGAGATTTTGAAGCTGAAGAAAAAATAATGAAAACTTAAATACTATTAAAGTTAACTTTACTCCAACAAATTTGACATTTATCTTCCAGAACATCATGTTAATAAATTCAGTGGTCTTTTTTTTTTAATTTTTTATAAAATGTTTAAGTTTTTTTCCATGTAGATTTTAGTACTTTGTAAAATGCAGGTACTGATGTTACGAATATAGAATATAAAAATTACAATTTACTTAAAAACATACTATCCACTTCTGAAAATAGACTTTAAATTAGCATTTTTTCACACTACAAATTAGATTTTTCGTATATAATGTTCTGTT